TCAGCAGTGTACTTCGTCCATCTGCCTGTTCTGCTCCCCACTCTGTCTCTGGTGAAGCCTCTCGCTGCCCCTGAGCCTCTGGCCTGTACCCCAGTTCTGTGTGCACATAAATAAATCTTAAATCTTTTCATTCTGAAAGCCAGCAAACCCACAGAACCATCCTCTAACAGTTTTATGTTACTTACTATAAAAAGAAAAAACTGAGAAAATCGTTTACGTCATTATTAAAAGGCTGTCGAGTTGCTCTCCCATGCACTACTTTTCCTTCTGTACTCATCAAACAGCAAGTCATTCAATTTCTTAGGCACTTGTCTAGTATAACTAAAAAGGGACTAAAATCAAATTCAGTCACTCAATCACTTTCATGACAAATCCTCACTTAAAAATGTTGTGTACCTCTATTACGTTAATGAATAAATCATAAGGAAAAAAAAAACACTATTCAAACTTATGAAAACTCAAAAAAATAGCTTTAATTACAGGATAATACAGGAGCCAACGCTGATCACCTTAAAATTTAGGCCCTCTCAAAAAAAAAAAAAAAAATTTAGGCCCTCTCTGGTGGTGCACTGGGTTAAAGCACAGCACTGTAAGCTACCACAACCACTGCAGTACCAGTTCAATCCCCAGCCAGGGAGCTGACCCACATGGCGTGGCAGACCTTTCCTGACCTGCCCACTGCTCCCCTCCACATTTCAATCTACCTGCCTGTTCTGCTCCCCATTCTGTCTCTGGTGAATCCTCTCATCCCTGTACCTCTGACCCTCCAGTTCTGTAAGCATTAAAACAACAGTTATTGACCGTATCCATTAAATTATAACGATATAATTCTTCAAGCCAACAGATACAGTTTAGATGTTAAACTAAAGGACCACAAAACTATATTCTATTTATCATAATAAACGCCAAAGCAAAAACATCTTTCCAGAATAGTGTCCACCTAATTATCACAGAGATAACACATTGAAGTCTATCATGCAAAGTAGTTTCTAATAATCTAAACCAAGTAGTTCAGACTTCAAACCATTCAAAATATTTTAAAAGATAAGGGCACCAAAGATTCTGAGCTTTTCTTTTCAGAAATATTTCAACTACATCCTCTTTATTCCAATATAGTTATTTCCAAAGTATCCACTTTTGATAAAATGAAAAAACTCAATAGTTCCAATAAATTCATCACAGAAAAACAGGTTAAGAGACTATTTTATCTTACCTCTACACTAGGGCTAAGGCTGCTTGGCAGTGTTTCTGAAGTCACAGTAGTACTAGGAAGGCTAGAAATTTCCCAAGTATTCACAGGCTGTATTGGTTCAGACTGCTTTGAACGATCTATGCATTTTGGATTATCCAATAAGGTCACTTCATAAAATTCTTGAATATCTAGAGGTGAGAAAAAGAAAATTCAAAAGTATTTATATTTTTCTAATTAAAGTATGCATTGTTAAAACAGCACAACTCAAAAACAAAAAGAAATTACTCTAGATTATTAAATAAATCCAATTTTATAAGGTACAAAGCAGTCAAAATTTGTCCAACTTATGTCACAATTGTATTAGAACCTGTATAGCTCAGTGCAATTATGTCTGGTTTTTTATACTTCAGAGTCTCTGCTGAGTTCAAATCCCTATTCCATCACTAATTAGCTACATGTGAAGGCAAGTTACTTAACTTCTGATATCTTACCTCTTATCACTGTGAATTGTTACAAGAGCTGAATGCAATACCTACAAAGTGCACAATGGCACATAAAGGGCTCCTCACAGACAGGAACTAATTATCATTCTATAAGTTCTGCAGATACAAGTCATTTTTATTTTATGTCTTTGTACCAACACCCAGATAAGGAATATAAACCCCTCAATTAGTTTTCACTGGCCTTCTAGCCAAAGTAAAACAAAAAATGATAGTTAAAATAAGATCAAATGGAAATGTTTTTAGATAACCTGTAGTTCAAATAGTCTAAAAAGGCTAAAAAGCAGTCATTGATTCTAACTATATGACATTCTGGAAAGCACAACAATGATAACAGTAAGAAGATCAGTGACTGCAAGGGACTGGATGCAGAAGGATGAGTAAGTATAGAACAGAGAATTTTTAGGGTAGTGAAACTAGTCTATAGATACTGTGATGATTGATACATATTACTATACAATTGTCCAAACTGCTTTAATAGTCTTTAAAAAAATGCACTATCAAGTTTTGAAAAGACATAGAGAAACCTTAAATGCATATTAGCAAGTGAATAAGTCAATCTCAAAAAGCTACGTACTAATGATTCCAACCATCTAACATTCTAGAAAAGGCAAAACTAGGTAGAGAGTAAAAAGATTAGTGGTTACTAGAGACTCAGGAAGAAGGAAAAAAGGGCAAATAGGTGGTGCAACACAGGAACTTCTTAGAGCTGTGAAACTATTCTGTATCATAGTGATAAACAAGTGAAAACAAATGTCTATGTCAAACTTAGCTGTGCATAGCAGAGTAAACCCTAATTAAGCTATGGACTTCAATTAATAACAATATTGACTATCAACTATAACAAATACACTAATGCAAGAAATGGAAAAGGGGTATGGTAAGGATGTAAGGGAATTCTTGTACTTCCTACTCAATTTTTCTGTAACCTAGAACAGCTGAAAAAATTAAGTCTATTACTTTTTTAAAATCTATACGGTGAATAATAAAAAAAATTTACATTTTTAAAAAGCAACTGCATACTTTATTTCAAAATAATTTCCAAATATATTAAGGATTAAAAACACACACACACACACACACACACACGTCAAAAAAAACTGAGTATGTCAATGTTCTAAGATCTTAGGGATAGGAGTCATTCTAAGTATGAAACCAATAACAGAAAGCTTAAAAAAATAAATCTAACCACTTGTAAATATATATTTATATATCTATCTATCTAGATAGATAGATCTACATATTATATAAATATAGGTTGAGTTTTTATTTTTAATGAAAGTTTAAAACCAAACGACAAAATAGAGAAACTATTTGCAACTTCACGGCAGAGCTAAAATCCTTAATGTAAGTTTTAGATCTCTAAGAAAACAAAGGGGGAAAGGTACAAATCACATGAGCAGATAGTTCATAAAAGAAATAAACAAACAATAATGTAAAAAAATAATCACTGGTTATTTCTTTAATCAAAAAATACAAAACAAAACATCAGTATAACTAAAGTATATATCCCAAATCAGAGTAAAAATATTATAAAAACTTGGTTATATTGTTCACTGAATTAGTCATTCTTCTACGTACTACCTAAAAATTAAGTTGATAAATTATGCTTAAGTCTTTTTCTAAAATACACACCCCTGGGCCATCCCTGGTGGCGCAAGAGGTTAGGTCGCAGAACTGCAAGCTAGTCACATCTGTCTCAGTGTGAGTTCGATCCCTGACTGAGGGGTGATCCAAATGGCATGGCAGACCTCTCCTTACCCGCCTGCTGCTTCCCCCAACAGTGAACTTCCTTGATCTGACTGTTCTGCTCCCCACTGTCTCTGGTGAAGTGTCTCACCTCCCCCCTCCGCACCTCTGGCTTGTACCCCCGGTCTGTATGCACAAATAAATCTTAAAAAAAAAAAAATACATATCCCCTATAACCAAACAATTTATTTCTAGGAATTTGTTCAAAGATCATAATAAAGGAATCAGAAGGCATATTCAAATGCACTACAGTTTATAATTCAGAAAAAAGATACCAAAATGCTCCTAGGAAATCATTGACAAAACTACAGTAAATCTACATTATGTATTTAAACTATTCTAAATATGTAACAATTCTTTTTATATGTAAAAACATCCAAATATTATGGCATAAAAATAGTTAATATGTATAACTATTATAGCAGAGAAGTCATGCTATATCAACTTAAGCAAATTCAAATGTAATACTTCCCTCTGCCAAAATAAAAAAATAAAAAAAGGGGCAATTGTACCCCCATTCTACCTAATAAGTGAAATGTTGTAAATAAAACCAAGAAGACCATTCCCACAGGTAGTCTCCCATTTTCACTGCTTCTCATAATGTATCTCTCTATAGTTCATGGTATGGAGGTTGATTCCAGAAGTATGTGCTTTTAGTATAAGCAGTCACTTAATTCAACTACTTTGTTGAAGAAATGTCTTTCCAAAAGAGGAAAAAACAGTTGTACATGTTTATGAGAGTTTATGAGAGATGATATTTAAATGCTGAAGGGATTTTCAAAGATAAATTTAATATGACATGATTTTTAACTTTTCATGATGCTTTTAAATATCAATTCCTGGGAAGACGCAATTATACAATGTTTTACTTGTTAGAGAATTTGTTTTACAAGATGTATATAAAAATAAAGTATATATATAAATATAAATAAAGTAACATTCTAAAAGGGTATTCAACCTATGGCAGAAGTAGTAAGTTGTTTTTGAGATAAGAATTTTCTTACTCATAAATTTTTAAGTAATACATTTAACTGAACTTACATTTTTTTACATGGAAAATACATTATTTTCTTTAAATAAACTCCATCTTGGTGAGTTAGAGAAAAGACAAGTAGAAGATATAAAAGTCTGCCATTTTAGGTTAAAAATTATGTCAGTTAATTGGCTAAAAGTACAGTATTTTTTAACTACAGTAATCAAGATACTTATGCACAGATATGTTGCTCTCTTGGAAACCAGTATATATTTAAAAAGTCATTTTAATACCCAAAGATAAAAGAAAATATAAATTCTTGGGCCTCCTTGGAGGCGCAAGGGGTTAAAGTACAGCACTGTAAAGCTATCCTCAGCCACTGCAACAAGAGTTTAATCCCTGGCTACATGAATAAATAAATAAATCTTTAAAAAAAAAAAAGGAAGCTATAAAATTTAAAAGTATGTATTACAACTTGGGTTTCACAAAAATCAAGCCAATGTCCAACAATAAGTATTTCAACACTTCAAATATTAACTAACAGTCACAGGATATTCACATGCATATTCTTTAAAACAAAATATGTATCAAAAAGAACTAGAGATTCTTAGAGAAGTAGCTGACCCAGGGCTAGGCAGGATATGTACAAGATGAACCTGGAACATTTTGTTATGCCAAAAAGTGAAAAAAATACCTAGATTAAAAAAAAAATGGGGCATGTTTTAAGAATAGAAAATCAAGTTTGAGATTTCCCAGTAGATAAATCTGAAATAATCTTAGTATCAAAGTTATTAAGGATGACAGTAAATTATCAATCATTGAAAGAAAAATACAAATAAATGGGAAAGGTTTTTGATTATAATAAAATATCAAGTGTTAGCTGGAAAATGAAGAGGAGTGCTCCTATTACAAGACTGTCATTTTCAATAACCACGGTAAAAACTGGTTCAGGCAAGCATCATCAGTGGATGCTAAATTAAAGTGGAAAATTTACTACGGCACAGAGTATGTGAACAGAGTTAAACAAAGTCCCCCACACATCGCTTTTAAGATGCCAGGGAAAAAACAGTAACTATATGATCAAAATTAATATTACCAATGTAGGACAGAAAAATATGTACCTCTGGATGTAAAGAACCCTACCAAACACAAAACCTATACGTAATCACAGTCAAATATCATACAAACCCAAAATATTATACAAACCCAAAATAAGAAATATTAAGAGTAGAGAGAAAGTTTATTGTATAAATATGCCAATGTCATAAAAGACAAAGGTTTTGGAAATATGCCAAAGTTAAAGGATACTAAAGAGATGTAACAACGAAAAGCAATTTAATTGGATATCTCAAATGAGATAGCATACTGAAAAAACATTTAAACATAGATAGACAACATAGCTTAAATTAGAAGACAATACCCTGTGATTATAAGACTCTAAAGAGAATTCAACATAAAGAACTGCTGTAGAGCAGTAGTAAGTAAAACTATTAGCAAATAATTCAATTAATCAAAACCATGAACTGAGAAATTAAAATTTCCCTCTAATTTCAGTGTTACTCAGCAATCAACATATTGTTATGTTTTCCTTTATCAAGCCTAGCCTACAAAGTTACGCATACACACAAACACAGAGTTAGCAACTGACTAAAACACAGTATTACTGGGAATAACAATAAATATTTTACTTTAAAGCTTATAGTTCATGAACTTTGATTATTAGGTAAATATACTTTTCCAAATGCATAAATTCCATCATCATCATAAACAGCATCTCAATATTATAAACATCCTCCTTCAAAGTTAACTATTTTTTAAAATACCATTAACTCTACAGATAAACACCTACATTGAATATGCCTATTATCATTACCACATAAAAATATTCAACATATGGTAACAAACTAATAGTTGAAGTTAAGGAGAGGCTCACACTAGCTTCAGTTCAATACTATCTCCACAATTTAGTATCTGAGGGCCCTTTGGGTAAGATAAATAGCCTCTTAGTTTTCTAATCCATAAAATTCATAATCCATAAAATTAAATTCACCTTGAAAATGAATATACACTTCATAGGATTGTGATTACTAAACAAGATATTTCTATAAACCATAAATAAATGTTAGTGATAACCACTAAATGTTAGTGATTTTTATTTTTTACATACACTTATGGAGTCACATCCTCCCTTTCAACAAGATGGCTTCTATTAAAAAAAAAACAAAAAACTAACAAGTGTTGGTGAGGACATGGAGAAATTGAATCCCTTGTGCACTTTTGGTGGATTGTAAAATGGTGTAATCACTATGGAAAACAGTATGGTGCCACCTCAAAAAATTAAAAATATAATTACCATATAATCCTGCAATGTCACTTCTGGATATAGATACAAAAAAATGAAAGCCTGATATCTATATCTACATTCACAGCAACCAACTAGTGAAAATAATCTAATGTCCATCAATGCATGAGTGGATAAACGAGTGTGGTACGTACTAACAGAATATTAGTCATAAAAAGGAAGAAAAGCCTGTTGTGCTTCAACTTAGAAGACATTATATTAAAAGAAATGTCACTTACAAAAAAGACAAATATTGTGTGACTCCATTTCTAACAAATAATTTAGAGTAGTTGAAATCATAGAGACAGAAAGAATTGTTACTAGGATTTGGGGAGAAGAAAAAGTAGAGTTTGTTGAGTAATGAGTAGTTTCAGTTTTGCTAGATAAAAGAGCTTTGAGCTGTTTTATAAATATATGAATACCCTTACATTAGTGTACTACACATTAAAAAGTGGCTGAGATGATAAATTTTGTTTTTTATGACTAAAAAAGCAGGAATCATACTTTTGAAACTCAGTATCTACAAATATAAATGTCCTTTATCACACAAAGGCTAGTGAAACTTACAGAGTAGCAACCAATGAATTAGGAGCTAAAGAAAAAACACTCAGAAATTGACAGTGCTTTTACATAACCCAACTTCATCTTGAAGTATCTAAAACATAAGTGTACATTTAATACATGTGTTACTTACAGCATACAAAATATACAAATCACATGTCACCTTACTCAAGTCTCTTAAAGTTAGTCTGATCTTGAAACCAGGTTTTTATCTGGTGCATCAAGAAAGTAAATGAGTTCTCTGATCGCCTAAGTAACCTCTGAGGATTACCAAAGTCATCTCAATTCCAGAAAAACCTCAGAACCAGAAATGACCTAGGAACTGACACTTGGGCTCTGATGATAACCAAGCAACATCCAGTTTACTTTATTCACAAAATTTTAAAATATAACTATATGAAATTGGAGGATGCAAAGTTTAAAAGTTTCCTAATTGCTCTTACCTTACTTGTCGAGGTGAAAATTAAGTAGATTAATTTTCCCATTTATTAAAAAAATAATAAATTTTAAATAAATGTGTATACAGTTCATGGATTTTTCATATATAATTTTAAATATTTATTTTCACAAACTAATGGGAAACTAAAAACTTAAAAAAGTTTTCTGCTTTCAATAATATCAAAATCCAGGACCTCCCTGATGATGCAAGAGGTTAGGTCTCAGCACTGTGAACCTATGGGCAGCCACTGCAGCACATGTTCAATCCCTGGAGCTAATCCATGGCTCAAAAGACGTCTCCTGTCTCATCCACTGTTCCCCTCAGCAGTGTATTTTGGTCAATCTTCCTGTTCTGCTCCCCACTCTGTCTCTAGTGAATCCTCTCATGCCTCACCTCTCTGGCCTACACCCCAACTCTTTATGTATTAATAAATACAATAAATCTTAAATAATATCCTGAAGCCATCCTTCAAGGAAACTGCCAACTATCAGAGAACAAAAACAATGATCGCCATATTTCACTGAACTAATACAGAAGACATTAATAGTAAGATGCACCCTTATTTCATGTCACTAAGAATGTACAAACTAAACTGTCAACTATACACTGACATCAATTACAAATGTATTCTAAATTCAGAGACACTAAAATATTTTTAAATTAGTACCTCAGAACAGATGTAATGCAATACATGTATAACTGTACCTCCACAGAACTCCACTAGCAAAAACTTACCCTATATATGAACTATGGAGAAAGAGAAAAAAAAAAACCAAACAGTATTCCTAAAGACTAAAAACTACCTAGAAACCCATAGAACTTTCTTAAAAGCATAAAAACTGTCAATACAAACTAACAGTTCAAACAAAAACAATAATCAGTGCAGAGGACAAGTCCAAGGAAGTAACTAGGTAATTCACTAAAGATTAAGGAAATGATTCCTAAGCTCAAGAAGTCAAGAAGCTAAACGCCAAATGACTTTTAAACAACTTAAGTTGTCAAGAACCAAGGCTCCTTTGACTCACTGGTCCAGAACTCAAGAGGAGAGAGTACTACCTACTAAAGGAAAGTAATAGTTACTCCAAGAGTTTCAGTACATACTATGGATACATAGTAAACTTTGGTTTAGTTTAGAAAGATTTACACTATTACAGTTTCAGAAACAATGGTATAGGTGCTAAGCATAAAGAAATTTCTACTGATATAAAAATTTGTAAAGGCAGAAAAATAATAAAGGTTAACAAACTAATCTACTTTCAGCAAACAGAAGAGAGGACATGAGCTAATTCAGGAATACCGACAATTCAATTAGGTATGTAGAAAGAAAAAAGAACTCTACTAATTTACCTGTTTCAAAATTTCTAAAATCTAGTATCTGATATCGCATCCCATAAATCATTAATATATATAAGTAAATCTAAATATCTAATTCACAACCAATGAAATTACACAGGACAAGTAAGATTCACAAGTAAAAACTTATTAGAAAACTAATGCTATCAGAATTTAATTACACTTAAGAATATACAAATACATTTAAAATAGATAAAACAGAATATATCAAACATTCCCCCAAATATAAAAAACTGACTTTTATAGAGGAATCAAATCTATGGAAAAATCTGAGTGTAAATTGTTTGATTATTTCACTAACTATTTAATTTTCTTATGTCACAAACTCCACACAGATAAGTATTATATCTATCTGTATCTGTCTTCATACATATTTAATCAGAACATAAGCCATACTATTTTTTTTCTAAATAGTAACTCTACTAGATAAAATATTTCTAGGTTAATGCTGATTTAGAAAACTAACTTAAAATGACTTTTCACTTCTTTTTCTCCCACAGGAATCCAATGTGGTCATCCATTTGGACCTTTAAACTCAATGTTTCGAATTGGAAATGTAAAAAATCTCCATCAATTTAAACAAAAAAAAGGAAAAGGTTGATCATTTTTGAAGATGGGTATGCAGGAGTAAATACAGCAGTTGGTGATGATGATCTTTCTATTCTTATGTATGTTAAAAAGTCTGTAATAATGTTAAAATTTTAAATATTATTCACATGTACTGAGTGGACTTCCTTGAGTCTACAAAAAATCTAGTAGAAAGTATCAAAGTTACTAGGAAGTTCTTTAACAGGGTAAACTAACTTTTAACGGTATTCCTCAAATGACATCAAAAATTAATCAGTAAGAGATCTAAGGGGCCTCCTTTGTGGCCCAGAAGTTAAAAGTTTCAGTGCTATCAAGTTATCACCAGCCACTGCAGGACAAGTTCAATCCCTAGTTAGGGAGCTGATCCACATGGTGTCCCAGACCTCTCCTGTCTCACCTGTTGCTCCCCTCAAGTATTGAATCTCAATAAATCTGCCTATTCTGCTCTGTTGTTGAATCCTCTCACACATACCCCTGTCATGCCTCTAGCCTACACCCCAGTTCTTGTATGCATAAGTAAAAATAAATCTTAAAAAAAGAAAAGAAAAGCTGAATCCTTTAAAAGAAAAATACATAGATCTAAGGCCATATCTGCTTGGAAGCTACTAAGGAAAAAAACTAATGCAATGAAACATGTCTAATTTTAATGTTATATACATAATGAAAAAAGTCATTCTTAGAACCGGAACGGACAAATTTTTGTTTGCACACTTTTCAAGGTACCTGGCAGAAAGGGTCAGAGAGATCACCTAATGATCAATATTATATATAAGCAACTGTAAAAGAAACAGTAAGATTTATTTATAAAAATTATCTAGCAACTTAATAAAAAGGCTTAAAAACCACTATTCCGTTACATCCACATTCTACAGTAACAGTGACCTAGAAAAGACTAAATAACTGATATAACAGTCTACTAATAAATGCCAAGAATAGAATTCAGAACTCTTGACTAGTTGTCAAGTTCTCATTTAAAACAATGTACTACCTCAAGTTGTTTCAATTTTCTTGTCTGTAAAATAAGATTAGACGAGATCATTTTCCAGGTCTAGAATCCTGTCTCCATGAAAGCCAAGTTAAACAGAGATCTGTATTATGGGAATGAAGGTTCTTAAACATAGCAGAGCTCTTCAAACATTTTCAGGGACTCCAGAGAACTACAAATCAAATATAGAAACAAGCTAACAGCAATTCCAGTCATTACCTTTTGGGCCCTGAGTTATTTTTGCAACTTCTCCATTTCTTAATACTTAATGCTAGAATATGAAACACTATTATCAAAGACCATTGAAATAATCATACTGACAGTTTTTTTTATTATATTTTTGGAAGGCCAAAGTATCACAACATACAACTCACCGAATGTTCAAGTCACTAAATGCCTCACACAGAACCAAATACAATACTCTCTTAAGTTTAAAATAAACTAGGTATTAAGCCTAGCTGATATAATGGTCACAAAGTTTTAATGCCCACCTATTAAAGCCTGAAAAAGGTTGCTCTGAAATATGTTAATAACCCGTTCTATGGAACTTCTGAGCTGTCTGTCTTCAGTTTGGCTTAGTTTAGAACGATATTCCTCCAAGAGGTGCAAAGCTCTCTGGGTATCTGGAAAGAGAAAATAAAAAGGGGGGCGGGGGGTTCTGGTTAAAATGTATGTATTTACAAGAAAGTATTACACACTATGCAGCAAATGATTCTCCACAACATCTAAACAATTCTCAGAATCCTCCAGGTCAACAGATGCTGAAATGTTCATGTACATATATTTGTAGAATGAACAACAACAAAAAAATGTGTGCGTGTGTGAGGAGAAAAGTGAGTAGTTTTGTAATAATGTACACTGGTAGTCTACCACAATAAAAGTTCATTTGACCCTAGCAACACAGTTTCTGCTGGTCTGACACACAAAAGCAGATTATCTACAATTTGTCATTAAAAATCAAAGCCTTAACTGTTTCAAAACACTAGTTCTTAGCCAGTATCCCAATAGAAATGTTTAGTGAGAATGATAAAGTAAAATAGGGAAACACTAATTCAGAGTTCTAAAAGATTTGGGGGGAGGAGTGTTGCCTCTCTAGTCACTAAAGAGATGTCAAAAAAAGAAAGTTTAACTTTTAGGCGTTTCTATCATCTCCGTGTGAGGCTTAGATTCCCCAAGTAGTGAAGTTAGGACTGAGCTGTCTCATTCAAGTTACACATTTTTTAAAACATGCAATCACAAAACAGACACAGAAAAGTCAGTGACACCCGACAAGAGGGTACTGAAATTGAATCTCACCTTGCTTCCGGACCGGCATTTTTCTCCAGAATGAGCAAGAGGGCACACACCTTTAAAAAAAATAGAAAGGAAAGAGAAGTAAAGAAAAGAATCGTGTTTAAGTAAACTAGCATTTCCCCCTAAATCTCAAATTTGGAAACTCCCAGCCCTAATTGCAAAGCCCACTTTACAAAGTTTTCCCAAGTGAAAGGAAGAGTCTCAAAAGCCAGCAGTGGCAGTGGCCATCTAGAAAGCTCACCTAAGAGTGCTACTCCTGCAAATTAGGAGCAGTGAGAAGTCAGCTCCCTGATTGAGAAGTCAGCTCCCTGATTCTCCTCTCCAGTCGCCCCCTCTCCAAGGCATTAAATGCCTAGACAAGCACCCCCGTCCTCTCCCAGGCACAAATATGCATACACCCCACCTGCTACTGGGGAGTTAAAAGGCGCCCCGATCCCTGGGTCCCTAAGCCAGCGGCGCCGGGCGAGCGCTCCGAGCAGGACCAACAGGGCCAATATAACCCCGCCCAGCTCAGGCCCCTTCCCCAGGCTTGCCTCTCTCCTCGCACGCTTCCTCCAGGCTACTCCAGCGGGGGCCGGACTGGGCAGCGGCCGCTCTCCCGCGACGCCCTCGCGCCCCACATGCACACCTCCGCGGGCCCCCACACCTGCGGCGCCACCACAAAGTTGCGGCGAGCGACGTGCGCTCGGAGCTGGGGTGCACTCCGGCCCCTTCTCCCGGCGGCTCCCCCGCCCAACACCGCTCCACGTCCCGCGCCCCGCCCGGGGCTCGAAGAGGCGAGCTGAGAGGGGTGAGGGAACGGGGGAGGAGCTCCCCTCTGCGGCCGCACCCCCGCTGCCTCTTCTTTCTCCTAGATCGCCGCCGCCCCCTCACTCGCCGCGGTTCACTAGCCCGGTCGCCCTCTCCGCTCCTAGCCGCCCCACCCCCCTGAACCTCGCCTCCTTCCGCACCCCCAACAGCTCTCCCCCCAAACTTTCCGCCAAGATGGCGGCCCCGGAGCTGGACTGCTGCGCCCCCACGTGACCGCTTTCCCCGCGCGCTCAGCCAATGGGAAGTGAGGAGGCGGCTCGCGCCGAGCCCAGGGCTCTCGGGGCTGCTACCTTAGGGCTGGAAGGGGGAGGCGGACCGAGGGGGGCTGGGGAACTCAAAGGGGGGTGAGGGAGCAGCCTCAGCGAACCCCGCTGCTTAAAGGGGAGGCCACCGAAGTGACTCTGAGGACAAAGGAGTCGACACGCAGACTCTACAGGTGGTGCGGGTGGCCCTGGCAGAGCCCGCCTTTATTTACCTCGCCCGAGCCCACCAGTGAGTCCTGCAGTTCTGAGCCAGAAGCGCTCCCCGCCCGGAAGGGCCGGGGTATCTGGCGGCCAGACCTCGCCTACATCCGATCCCAGACACCCATTCCGAGACACCCTGTAACCTCACTAAACACGTGCCGTTTTCAAGTCCACGGCAGTAGTCTCGGGTGCCCCAGGGTAGATCCCTAACTCGGAGAAGCAGTATTGGGGAGGAGTCGAGGCACGACCCAAGCCGGGAGGCGGTGAAGGGCGGAGCCTGGGTGGGGAGCTAGGGAGGAGTTGGGGTTGAGGGGAGATCCACTTCATACTGATTTTTTAAAGTTACTGTTCTTCCCTGGGTAAAAGTATTCGGGAAGAGGTTACATTAAAGAGGGGCATATAAAATGGGACTGGTTAATGGAGTTTGAGAGGTTTACTAGAGGAATTTTAAGTGTAAGTTTAGTTCCAAATAGAAATGCATGTAAGACTGGGAAGGGAAGATTCGATCCTTGATTCACTCACTCATCATTCCCGCTTTCCAGTGTCCCCTCACTCATCAATCTCGGGTATTATCCAAGCTCTGGAGGCCCCTTTAAGAACTCACCTGTCGCCAGCTCCTCCGAAGTCAAACGTCCACTGCTGGAGCTGCTGGGCTGTTTCTACCGCTCCTCGGAGCGGGACTGTGAGACAGCCCGCCCCCTGGCCTCCAGAACTGAGCCACCCCTGTTGCAGAAGGAGAATCGCAGGAGACTCTGAGAGCCCAAGTCTTCTAGCCTCTTCTGTATTACAAGGACCTCTAAGGTCCTGAGAGAAGAATTTGCCCAAGGTCACCCAGAGTTAGTGACAACCGGAAGATTCGTCCCAGTAAACCTGACAGTCTTTCACCAAGGCTGTATCCTTGGGCCAATAAGAAGTCCAGGGAACCTTGTACTGTAACCATAACAATTACTCACAGGTATGCAGACCATTGGGTTTCACTTTTGGATTGCAGCTTGAAGTCTTAACTTGAAGAACACCACGATTTTAGAGCTCATTTAGACCTAGTCTCCCAGTTTAAGGTTAAAAAACCCTGAGATCCAGAAAGAGGTAGAAACTTGCCCAAGGTCATATATGCCAGTCAGTGACAACTGCCCAGCTTTAGGGCTTGCAACTCAAGTAAAGGGTTCTGTGCACAGTGATTTGGGAAAACTTGACAGTGGTATACATGGGTATGTTGTTAACACATCTCTGGCCTTTCTGGATCAAGCATCTTGGGAGCTTGGGCAAGTTTCATAGAAGAAATGGAATGGAAAAACGAAAGAAGTGCCTGTGAACAAGGGGTTTTAATGAAGGAATTTTTTTAAATTGTGAATCAGGAGATTTCCTAATAGTGAAAATGGTTGATGGCATGCATGCTATTATTAAGTGTCATAGATGAACCGAGGCTAGAATGGTTTCACTGAAAGAAACTTTCTAAGAATAGAACCTCTTCAGAATTCAGGAGGGAGGTATTTTGCCTTCTTCTTTAATATCATTCATTGTTCTTATATGTTTACTTTCTAAGCAGTGGGATAGACGAAAAAAATAGATAATCCTGTTCTCAAGGATCCACAGCCAGTAACAAATGCATAAAAGCCAGTGCAGCTTTTTCCAGGGGCCAGTGAAAAGTCAAACCAAAATTAGTATGAGTTCTCAGTGTCATCCAAGTACTCCCCTAAAAACAAAGGTGTGGGGGTGGAGAGGAAGAGGAGAAAAGAGGGCAAGAGTTCCTTCCTTTTGTCATTTCTCACCTATGTGGTAGTCAGTAGTATTACAAAAACATTTGTCCCACTCTTAGGAGTCAGACAAATGGAGGATAGTATGAAAGGTCTTCTCATTCTTATCTTCTGTCCATTTATATTACTTATCTATAGCTGCATAACAGTTCCACAAAGCATAATAGCTTAGTAGCTTAAACTTAGTAGTTTAGTAACAAGCAGTAATAGACTTTATCTTGTACTGAGTTTCAGGAATTCAGTGGGACATTCACTGGATAGTTGTGGCATGGCATCTCAAGAGATTGCAGAGAAGATAGCTCTATCAGGTTGAGGGGGAGGGATAAGGTGATGATGTTTAAGGATACAAACTTGTAAGGAGTAGTAAACAAGCCACAGAATGCTAATGTACAGTATAATGAAAATGAATAATAATACTGTACTACAGTTAGGCAGTAGGATATCACTGCATCCATAACATATTGCAGCATATAAATGAATAACATATTGTACATCTTACAATGCTACCTATCAAATTTATTCAATAATAAAATATGAAAATATGTCTACCAGGGCTGCAGTCATCTGAAGCCTTAACTAGGGTTCAGGGAGGCTTTTCCAACATGACCCCCTTACGTGGCTATTAGCCAGCATCAATTTCTCATCATGAAAATCTTTCTATGGAGTTGCTTGAGTGTCTTCATGACATAGTGGCTGACTTCCTCCGCAACAAGTGATCCAAGAGGGCACAGCTGAAGCCACAGAATCTTTCATGACCTAATCTCAAAGGTAACACTCCATCATTTCTACATTACTCTATTGGTTACTTAGGTCACCCCAAAAGTATACAGAGCTAAGAATCATTAGGGCCATCTCACGGAAGCTAGCTGCCACATCATCACAACATAAAAAGCAGCTGGATTTTTCTAAATGTCTTTTATATTCTTAGTTTTTCTTACTTTATGCAGGTAGCAGCTGCCATTGACTAGGATTCAGTATAAGATCTGACTGCTTTTCCAACTTCCTCATTAAATATATATATTCATATACATTTAAGTTTATATACAGATAAACTTTCCAGGCATACATTAACTTTATTTCTAATGGCTTAAAAAACATAGGAGTCAGAAAACCATGAAAAAGCCAAAACCTCTGGATTGTCTATTGAGATGCCACATATCTGATCTCAGAGAATATTGTCTCTCAGTTCTAAGCCTTCTCTTCCCAACCCTCTTCTAATTGAAGTCACCCTTACAGTTCCACTTGCCTTTGTCTTCTTTCTGTCCAGATCACCAGACCATCCCATAAAGGTACTCAGTGCCAGAATCCACTGATCTCATGTTGACAGGGTGCCAGTGCACAGTTTATGTCAAGGCAATCAATCACTAAGAAAACGAAAGGAATTGCTGCGGTCAAAAACATTTATACAGCTTCGACTTGAAGAGAGAAAGTTATTGAGACCAATGAAAGTTACCAGAGGTCATCCTCTGTAATGAATTCAGAGGACATTTCCTAACAGCACCCTTTAAGAGGGATTAAAAAAAAAAAAAGTAACCAGAATAATGAGTTTGAAATTTTACCCCAAGAGAAACAATCATTTCTTTTTCATTTATTTAAAAAAGAGAGGGCTCAAAGGAGCTTGGTTTCAATCTTTACATGGGCTGATTTTGTATATCCAGAGGACAAGACTAAAGCAAATAAATGAAAGTTATAGGAACACAACAGGTTCTTGTTTAGTATGATTTGTCAGACTGTATAAAATTCCAAAACACTGTACCAAGGTGATGGGAGTGTCCCGTACAGCAGAAGCTGAAAGAATCCAGCAAAGCTTCCTTGTCAGAAGGTGGTAAGCACTGAGGACTAAAGGTTGGACTGAGTAACCTCTGAGATCTCTGAGGTTTCTGAGCCCTTGAAACTTCAGTCCCTGTTATGGTATTGACACTACTAGTTTATTTACAACAAGAATCCTTTCTACCCAAGGCTGACAGACTTCCTTTGGAATAAAGTCCATAAACTGAAACCAATTCCCCTTAAAAAATGGACAGGTGTTCATCACCAATTACAATTAGGCATGACTAATACTTTTTAAATGGATGATCAGTCCTTAATCCTCTGTATTATGGTATAATAGGTTCCCAAGTGGGTGTAGAACTAATACCTGCCTCCCATTTAAACTGGTACACTCTACACTGGTAAAGCCCTTTACATATTACTGTTCAAAGACAGGTTAAACTCGCTGGAGTCTCACAACAACCTACGAGAGAAACATACTGGTTTAAATCTCCCACTTGGCAGAGGAGGACACTGAGGAAGAAGAAAATCAGCAAGCTACTCTAGAACACTACAGCTAGCTAGTAATGCAGGTGGGACTGGACATGAGTTCATTGTTTTTTTCCATTAGGCTGTTGTCTTTTTCTGCTTGATCCCTTTCTAAAAAACAAACAAACAAAAAAAACCCTGTTATGTGAAGGGATAAGTCTGTTTGTGTATAAGAGAATCAGAAAGAGATAACAAAGAAAAGCAGACAGACACTGAGTCTCTAATAAAATAAAGGATAAGCAACAGGCCAGTCTGTTGTTTCATATATGTGAATTTCTTTAGAAATTTAGAGTAGAGACAACTTTGATGGAATGTCTCCTCTGATCACAAAGAAATAAATATTCATATTCATATTCTTTATTAGTTAGGCTAAACGAGTTTTGTTTTTATTGCAAAGGTGTCTAAAACACTGATTAAGTTCCGTCTCTCCTTCTTTCACCTTTACACATACCCTAGAGTGTAAATGGGAGGCTGAGTCCAGTGGGACACCCCACTGGAAAGAGCCCTCACACACCAGTAAATGCTGTCCTCTCATTTGGTAGTATCAGCACACAATTATCAAAGTGTGTTTCTGAATAGCATACTGGCATTACAGGAATAATTAATCGGTCTACTCTTGGCAGGGACAGACAGGGAAGTGG